ACCATATTTCCCAGACCTTGCTCCCATAGACTACCATTTCTTTAAACGTCTCGACGCTTTCTCAAGGAGAAATGCTTCAAAACTCAACATGATGCTGCCGCGGAATTCGACGATTTCATCGCCTCTAGATTTCCGGACTTCTATGCGAATGGATACTCGAACTTGTTTTTCGTTAACAAAAGTGTGTCGATAGTAATGGTTGTTATTTCGATTGTTGAAGTTTCGTTCAAGCCGAGATATATGCATTTGAAGTTTGAGGCGCAAAACCGCAAGAACTTTCTTCACGACCTAATATCTAGGTCGTTAAGTCAACATGATGAACAACCTTGCTCCAGAGCTGTGCAGAAGGAAACGCGCCGCGTGGGGAGCATTTAAGAATATTGAGGGAGTGGTGAAGAAGACAAGGAACATCCGGCTCCGCGCTAACATTTTCGACTCTGCCATCCTTCCTGTTCGTACGCCTCGGAGACTTGTACTCTACGGAAACAGAATGAGCATGCTGTCAGCGTTACTCAACGCGCTTTGAAAAGGGCGATGCTCGGAATTTCCCTATAAACGCAAGTGCAGAATGCAGAAGGGAATCCGGAGTTCCGAGCTCCGTCATCGAACGAAGATCAAAGATGCCGCTGATCATGACAAGAAATTGAAGATTAGCTGTGCCGGACACGTTGTGCACTATGGTGATGACCGTTGGACCAGGACGGTTACTGACTGAATCTCTCGGGACATCAAACGAACTCCAGACCACCAACGTGATGGTCAGACTTCTTCGCGAAAGCTCTGAACGAAAGGAATGCTGGACTTCGTGTCCCTGAAGCGAGGTCGATTCACTGGATCACTCTGGTTCGTGACAAGGACGAATGTAGACGTTACCGGCTCCCGCTCGAGAAAATCGATGATCAGCGGGACGACAGGTGATACAGGAGAACGTCTTTGGTGGTAATCATTCCCGCCTTTGAGCAGCGTCTCCGCATTCGACTTTTATTCAGAATGGTAGAGGCAATTTGTCTCCTATGTGAATCGCGGAACCGGTCAATGTAGAATCCAGGCTTTATATTCCTGGACGAGTCTAACAATTAAGCGACCGCATGGGAGCAGAAGGCACGGTTGACCGAGTGAGTATCGATCCAGGACACGATCCCTGGACAGGGTGTCCTGGATCGATACTCACTCGATACTCGATTACGCACTGCCACTCCACCGCATAAGCCACATGCAGAATATCAGTAACAATACACTAGACCGCTCAATCTTCTGTAATTCCGGCAAATGATGATTTCCCAAAATTATGACATCAGTGACGTGAAGTGACTATCGCACTAAACATACAAAAGTTATGATTTACAATAAGTTAGGCAGTCTCATTTGAGGTAGGGTTTTCGGTAAGGAAGGTCGGAATCGTGGTACATGGTTGAATGAGACGTACTTCCTCCATCCTCGAACGCTACTATCTATCTAATCGGCAGTTTGCACGCATATGAGTACCAAACGGTTGATCCACGGTTGTTACAAAAATAATCAATGAATGCTGCTTACTTCGAGCGATCCCAACTTCGACTTGGAGTGTTTTTCCTCTTTGGGACGTGGGGCTTGTGAGATCGCCTTCTGTGAATCGTCACGTTCTTTTGGCGGCGTTGGTTGTATCAGTACGTCACGTGCTATTTTCTGGCTTTCTGAGCTTTCCTTTTCAGTCTGTAACATCTCTTAAGGATTAGGAAGCAGCTGTACAAGCTTCTATGTAATCCTCAACCTGCCTTTCTTGCTGGACCGAGCCAATCACTTTTCTGAAATTTAATGGACATTTTATTATAGCGTATCTTCACGATTTTAAGTACATTCGATGGACTCACCTCAACCTCTTCTTGTTCTTTGCCTTTTTTGGAATCATCAACAGGCGCAGGCGGCTTCTCATCAGCATTTCTTATAGCATTACATTTTTCTGGGTCGTCTCCCATGCTATCAACACTTCAGATTAATTGCTAATTGCATGGCGCATCGCAACATGCCTTACCTTAATATTAACACAGTGTCAAAGACGAGTAGCTTTGTGATTAATTGGATGACTTTTTAAATCTTCTTTGGACGAGCTGGAATAGGTGAACGGCCAACGAGTGCATGAAGTGAGGCTTACCACAAGGCAGTCGGCATTATAAATAGAGATTGATTGTGATAGGGATTTTATCATTGTTTTGGTTCATGTAACTCATAGCCCTAGCTAACCTTCACTTTCACTTCGTGTTGTGTTCTGGGAAAGATGGAAATACGGGTATGCGGCCGATCGTGCGTCCGAGGACGCGCACATCAAATTGCGCGGCAAAGTTGCGTAACGATTTCAACGACTTTTGCGCCAATCAGTGGAGTTCGAATTTGAAGTAGAGTTTTTGGATCCTGGTCACGGATCCAAAAATGAACCATAAGGGGGAATGCGTGTCAATCACGCGCGAACTCACCCCCTATATAGGGCTAGCCTTTCACTGTGAA